GACGACCAGGGCTCCTGTTCGATATTTCCTCGCGATTTGCTCCGAGAGCCCCTGGCCAGGAAGGCCCCCGAACTCAGGAACGGCGCTGTCGCTCGAGATTTTCCCGCGATTCAGTCGAATTGGTGGAGGCTCAACTGCGACGACAAGGGCTCTCGCTCGGTGCTTCGTCAAGATTTATTCCCAGGGGCCCTGGCCAGAGAGGCCCCCGAACTCAAGAGTGGCGTTCTTGCTCGAGACTTTCTAGTAATTCAAACAAGCTGGCGGGGGCCCAACCACGACGACAAAGGTTCCTGCTCGATACTTCCTTACGGTTTACTCCGAGAGCCCTTGACCGGGAAGACCCTCGAACTCAGGAACGGCGCTGTCGCTCGAGACTTTCTCGCGATTCAGTCGAATTCCTGGAGGCCCAACTGCGACGACAAGGGCTCTCGTTCGATCCTTCGTCAAAATGTATTCCCAGGGGCCATGGCCAAAGAGGCCCCCGAACTCAGGAACGGCGCTGTCGCTCCAGACTTTCTCTTAATTCAAGCAAATTCGCGGAAGCCCAGACAAGGCGACAAGGGTTCCCGTTCGATCTTTCGCAATTGTATTCCGAGACCCCTTGGCCAGGAAGGCCCCCGAGTTCAGGAACGACGCTCTCGCTCGAGAGTTCCTTGCACTTCAGTCAGCGGCCGACAAGGAAGAGATTTCCCCCGAAAGGTGGCGCAATCGAAGACGAACTGGGCAGGTATCGAGAATTGGAGGTATACCAAATGCAACGCACGCGTGCCAGTAAGAGCGAACAATCTTAAAATCATTGTTGAACTCTCACGACTGACGAATGAATATTGTTCATCCCCCCTCCGGTGACCATTTTGTTTTTCAAGTGAAGTGCTTCCCCTAGGGCTCCCAGCTTGTTTTTTTTTTATCCAAGAAAATCACGAGGCTCAAACTGGGCCCCTGGCCCCCGGTCGACAACAACAGCAGCTCCCGCCGGATTTTTCCTCACAATGTATTCCCAAATCGCGCTCTCGCGTGGGACTTCCTCACAATTCATGTACGCATCGCGCTCTCGCGTGGAACTTCCTCGCACTTTCTTCAGACGATGCGCCCTCGGCGCTCAGGAATCACGCTCTCGCTTTGGCATCGCGCTATCGCTCGAGACTTCCTCGCGATTTATGCAGGACCCACGCTTCAGCAACCCGCCTGCTCGACCTGGTCGCCTGGGTCCGCCTTCCCGACCTGCACGCTATGGGTCTGCCCACCCGATTTGCCCGTCTGGTTCTACCACTTGTTCTCTGCTCCTTGCCCCTTTCCTGCTAATTCTCTCGTGTTCCATTCTTCTCCCTCCCCCTTCCACCCGTCCTCTCTTCCCTTGCTTGAGGGGCTGTACTAAATGCACGTGGCAGGTAAGGAAGATATGCCCCCAAGGGGGTACGATCGAAGACAACGACGGCGGGTACCGAGGTTTTGGGATATGCGCATTGATTGGCACGTGAGCAGATAGGAGCGAACAGTCTTAACATGATTGTTGCTGCTGTTGTCGTCGCATTCGTTGTTGCTCGTCTCCGTCGTCTCCATCGTCGTCGTCGTAGTTGTTGTTTTCGTCGTCGTCATCGTCACCGCCGTCGTCGTCGTCGTCGTCGTCGTCGTCGTCGCCGTCAACGTCGTCGTCGCCGTCGTCGTCGTCGCCGCTATGGGGGGCCCGTGGGGAGCACCCCCGTCGAGGGGGAGCGGGCTGTAGGACACAGCGGCAGCGCACCGTTTCCCCCCCACATCTCCTCCCTCTCCTCCTCCTCCTCCTCCTCCTCCTCCTCCTCCTCCTCCTCCTCCTCCTCCTCCTCCTCCTCCTTGTCCTCCTCCCCATCCCCGGTGGTTTGGGAGGGTGATCCCGACAACGTTTCCACGGATATATCGAAGGCCACGTCTTCTTCGACGGCTCCGGGCTGAAAAGCCCGATTGTGGAGATGTCTCGAGCTGGCTGGGGGGCTTCTGTATATGACGAGGCCGGAGAGCTCACGTGCACCCTCTGTGGGCCCGTTCCTCGCTTCCTCCCGCAGACTTCCCAGGCCGGTGAATTCTGCGGCCTCGGCGCCACCAATGAGCTCCTGAGCGGGCCCTCGACGGGATACTCGGACTGCGCCAATGTGGTCAAGGCTTTTAAGGCTCCTGTACCCCATCAGGTTTCATATAATAGGCTTTATGCCGGTGCGCTTTTAAATATGTCTCAGACGAGGTATCCAGATGTAATTAAAGTGAAAGCGCACGTGTCTGACACGGGCGACCTCTCGCCAGAGCAACTGTTGTATAAGACTGGGAACGACGCTGCCGATGCCGCGGCAAAGCGCGGTGCCTGGTCCCACCCGATGGCCTCTGCAGCTGAACTGGTCGAGATTGACCGCCGTGCGCTCATCGCTCGCAAGGTGTGCGCCATGGCGGCTCAACTTCTTCCTCTTTGGCCCCGCCTGAGCCTCGACGGGGTGCCGAGAGCCACAGGCGAGAGCCGCCAGCCAGCAGATGTGCCTGTGCAGTTGCATGAATGGTCATGGTGCCGCTCCTTTTGGAGATGCCAGCGTTGTCTGAAATTCCGCCGCTCGGATCATAAGCCTCAGAGTACCCGATGTTCTGGTGTCCTGCCCGAGACCGCCCGCGAGATCGGGCAAATGCAGCACCAATTGAAAGTTTTTGATTGCAGCGACGGCACTCTGTTATATGCCTGTGAGAAGTGCAAGGCATATTCCACTGGCGGTCAGTTCAGAAACCTTCGTAAGAAGTGTTTGGACAGGCCTGCCAGCAATTTCGCGATCTCGACCTGGTCCGGCCTCCTCAAGGGAAGGCACCCCAAGTTTCCCCAGGTCCAGGTCGAGCCTTT